CAGCTACAAGGTAAAACTACCCAATTAGCTAGTATGGATTTCTTAGCAGTGAATCTTCTTTTTTCTTAGCACAGTTTCTCCACCCCTCCACCCCAGCTTTGTTCATATATAGAGTACTTAGGGTCCCATCTCCTAGAGGAGATCAACCCTGACTGCTCTTTAGAAGGCCAGATCCTGAAGATGAAACTCAAATCCTTTGGCCTCCTAATGAGAAGGAAGGACTCCCTGGAGAAGAGCCTAATGCTGGGCACAATAGATGGCAAAAGAAGAGGGGGGCAGCAGAGGATGAGGTGGCTGGATGGAGTCACTGAAGCAGTTGGCCTGAGCTTAAGTGGACTCTGGGGGATGGTGGAGGACAGGAAGGCCTGGAGTAGTGTTGTCCATGGGGTCACGATGGGTCGGACACGACTTTGCGACTAACAACAACAACAAAGGGCCCCATCCTATGCATGTTTACATAGAAAAAAGGCCTGCAGATCCCAGCATGTCCCAGCCAGACTGACTGGGGCATGCTGGGAATTGCCAGTCTTTTAACTCCCTAAATATGGATCTTACTGTGCTGTAAATCCCTACTTCTGTTTCCCACTAACCTATCTGGTTTGCATAGGAAGAGACAATTTTAACTGATGATGATATTGCACTTATATCCCACCCTTTTCCTCTTGTGAGGAACCAAAGGTGGCTTACATAGCTCCATTTTATCGTCACAACAACATCTCTATGAAGTAGGTTAGGCTGAGGGTGAGCGACTGGCCACTAGTTACCCAGTTCACTTCATGGCCAAGTGGGAACTAGAACCTGGATCTCTTGGTTCTAACCACACGCAGCACTGCCTCACTGAAAAACTGGAGTGTATGTTTTTAAAAACAGAGGGTCAAGAAATGTCTGTGGCTTTCTTCTTCCCAGTGGTCCTGGGCTCCTAGGATCACATCACCTGGAAGAGTCAGTGTTTGGCTGTGTTGACATCCTGAATGGAACTACCTGCCAGCCCTCCCCCACCCACAATTGTGCTTCTTATAATATTTTGCCTGATGAAGAAATCTGGAGATTGTGCAAGTCTGCACATTTTGGGTATGTATGTGAGATCTTTCAGTTGCCCCAGCAAATATGCCACTGAACATAGCAGTTTTTATTTCCAGACAGATGGCTTTAAAAATTATTCATTTCTTGTCCCTATTTTAGGATGGTGTGAATGGAACAGCATTTGCACCAGTTTTATAGTGCAAAGCACATGGTTGATTCCACCTCTGTATGCGAATTGACACATGTGCAAGTCTTTCCTCCTCCTTAGTTTGGGAACTGCTGACCAGCAGGTGGCATGGGACCTACACAAGAAGTGGTCCGGGTGAGCAGGCGTAGAGGGGAGGACTGACAAAGACAGACTCCTGAGCCAGGTAGCACCTTTCAGCCCTGGTGTAGGGGAGCTGAACAACCCCTGATCCTTCTAGCTAATGGTGGTTGCATGTCCTTCTTTCAGGAAACAGGCCACTCTTGGAAGGGTTGTCCAGTCCAAGTCCAGTTTAAAGAAAATGATCTATAAGGAGAGAGCAGAGCCCTTTATGTTGCCTACCAAAAGTTGGCCCAACATTTTGCTGCTTGAAGCAAAGGAAAAGATGCTTTCCACTCCATCCTGCATATGCAGAATGTAGAGATGAATTGGAACGGCAGTTGGATTTTACTTCAGTACTGGCACCTGGAAAGCATCCTCCACACCTGAAGACACCAAGCTAACTTAGGGAGTGCAGGAGAGATCGTATGGCTCGCACACAGCTCTGTCCCCATCAGAAGGGAAAGGCCAGGGAGCTCAGGAGAAATGGCCAGGAGGCTGTCACTGCTGCCCCTGGAATCTGCCGCCTGAGGCAGCTGCCTCACTCTGCCCATTGGTAGGGCTGGCCCTGTGCTCTGGACACAGACTGAATCCACACAGGCCACCTGGTCACAGCCTTTCCTCTATGGTGAAATGTATTGCATTTTTATTTAAACCATAGAATTATCTCTGAGGCTGGATCTACACATATGCATGAGCAGAGGCAAATATTATGCCAATCTGTTTTTTTCTGCCCTCTTTTTCCCATGATGAATAACTGGCCATCGTATCCTATTCCACAGCTACCCTCAGCAACCATTCCAGAATTTCAGGCAAACAGCCACTGAATCCCAAGTGGAGATGCTTCAGATGTTCTATAAGAACCTCCTTGCTACACTACCACGGGGCTGCAGTGGCTTGTAGAAGAACATCACTGGCCCTACCATGTAGTTGTGAAGCAATTTGTGTGTGTGTGTGTTTGTGTCCCAGTCTGTGCTCATGCTGGCCTGACAGGGATCGTTTCTTCCCTGTGAGTTGAGTTTCCCAGGAGAAGCACTTTGGAGAGCTTGCCAGGAAAAGCTCCTTCCTTCCTTCCTTCCTTCCTTCCTTCCTTCCTTCCTTCCTTCCTTCCTTCGCCTCCAGCTGGCCCATAGCCCAGGAAGGGCTTGTTATTGTTATGTGCCAAGTCTTGTCCCAGATGCCCTATCCATGACAACCCTGCTCAGCTCTTACACACTGAAAGCTGCGGCTTCCTTTACTGAGTCCATCCATCCCAGATTTGCACTTCTTCCTCCTCCGTCAGCGAAAGACTAGAAGGCTAGAAGGGGCTACACTTTCTGTGCCTCTGAATTTTTTTAAACAAGCAAATGATTAAAAGAGTTTATGACTTTGTCTTTAAAAGGTCTCCAAATGAGATGATCAGCCTTCCTATTTTTTGTACTGCCCCCTGGGCCAATGTTTAAGCTGCTTACGCGCCTTGCCATCCTTTTATTTATTTGTGTCAAAGGGACACTGCTATCAGGTCTCTCTTTCAGGTCCAGTCTTTTACTGAAAACATTTTAGCTACATAAATTGTTATGCACTCCCTATGTTAGAGATCTTGTTTTTATCATCTTGTACTATTATTATTTTTTCCTCAGAAAGTTTCCCCTAGAGGGCAGTAGAGGCCAGATAAGTTGTTATCGCCACTGCTGGGCTTGGGGATAACTGGCATTTGCTCCACTGGACTGGGCGCGGATGCTAGGCATGGGTGTTCTCGCATGCTCAGCTGCATTGCAGTGGAAGTGGAGGCGAGAAAGTGGGCCAGGCTTAAGAAATGGACTTGGTTTTGGCTTTGATCGCAAAGTGATCTAGACCATAAATGCACTGGAACTGCAGCACTTATCACTATGTGAAAAGTCATTAGTGCATTTTATACGACTTGAACAGAACTTCTAATTGGACAGAGATGTAAGCTGCAAAGGCAAGAGCACATCCAGCATCCTGGTTGGAAGGGAGCAGGAGGGGGCAGAACCAGCTCCAAGATGCTTTCTTAGAAGCAATGCAGGGCATGGAAGCAAAGTCATGTGGACTCTGGTGAGTTCCCAGAAGAGAAGGCAGCTATAGGACTGTGTGCTGAGCCACGTTCTTAAAGCAGACTAGCAGTATGACCCCACCACCTGGATTGGCCATAGCTGAATAGCGTGTCGGCCTACAGTCATTCAGTCGGTAAATAATCTATCAATGGCCAGTAGCAACTGCTGGATCCAGGGAACCTTGGAAAGGTTGTACAAAGATGTACAACATACATCTATGTTGTAAGCCGCCCCGAGGCTTTGGCGAATGGGGCGGCATAAAAATGTTTTAATAAATAAATAAATAAATAAATAAGGATGTCCCAGGTAGACCTCACGCCTCTCTGCATCAGAATGTTCCAAGTGATCCTAGCCCTATCCCAGTGGTTTCTGAATGTCTGAGAGCGACTGTTGTAGCCTAGCCCCCTCACACTTTCCAGTGCCCTCTCCTCATGGGCGAGGGGAACTTTCTGAAGAAAGTCTGGCATACTGGTGGGAAATAAGCCATTGTGCAGCGCTTCCATGCAGACACTGGAAGCTCTCTTCAGAGAGCTGCTTTCCAGAAGTAGAAACTGCTGGGAATGCATTAGGAGGAAGCGGGGAAACAGTGGTTCCTCTCCGCATTTGCTAGTGAGCAGAGAAAAGAGAAAACAAACAAATCCTGAAAAGGGCCTCTCTTCTTACAGCAGGGGTGCAGAAACTCTTTCAGCCTAAAGAACAAATCTGAATTTGGAGCAGTTCTCAAGGGCACATTCCAGTGCTGGATGCAGCTGAAGACCAAAGGGTTGGGGCAAAAATGACCAACGTATTTCAGCTTAAAGCTTACTTACTGCCAGTAACAACCCTTAGGAAAGGCAGTAACCTTTATCAGATGAGGGGATATGCACAAATGGTAGGAAACCACCAAATGAATGATGGTTCATGTGGGGGAGGGCGGGGCGGAGAGAAGGTGGGGCGAACAGGGACCAGCTCTGCCTGTCTCATATGGGAATCAGATACATATCTCAGCATTCCATGGGACTCTCTCCAGGCTAAGTGTGTACAGAATTCTTTTAAAACAGCCATTAGAATGGCCTTCTCTAGTTCAGTGCCCCCAGACACATTGGACTACAAATCCCATTATCTGACCAATGGGAAAGGTCATGTTGGACTGATGGTCAGTCAGTCCTGCTCAAAAGAGGAAGGGTAGCTGCTATCCCATGCACACATACATAGCCACCTTAGTTCAGCAGGGCGGGGAGTAGAGAGAGACACCCTAGAAGAGGACATCCTGCGCCCATCTCCTGAGGAGGCAATTGGCTGGCCGCTGGGGAGGGAATGGGATGCTGCACTTGACAGGCTTTGGATCTGACGCCCCAGGGCTCCTGTACTTTTGTGGGAGTCCATCCCACTGAACTCTGACTTGCCTCCAAGAAAAGATGGGATAGGATGGGACAGTCAAGAGGATCAAATTGAGGACTGGGAACCTAAGGATGGGATGGGCCAAGGTAATAAGGGCCATTTCCAGTGAAGAAATTACTGGGTGTGTACAGGTGAACGTATGCATCTGTTTGTGAGCTTGTGAGTAGCTGTGTGTGTGTCTGTCTTCCCAAGGACAACCCCCATTTGTCTTGCAAACTGTTCAAATAAAGAGCTCACCCTTTCACAGCAGCAGCACAATGTTTTAAATACCGGTGCAAAGTTAAAAGACAAAGTACAGATCAACACATGAGCAGACAAAGACATAACCAACATCCTAGAGCTTGCTGGGAGAAGGCTTGGAAGCCCAACCAGGGTGCCTGTTGCATCTTCAGACAAAATGTGGCGACAAGACAATCACCCTCGACTTTGTACAATGCCAGGTCCTTTACTTCTGTGGCTCAGTACTGTCTTCAGTAAGGGCAGGTAGCCTGGTGCCCTCCAGGCATTTTGGACTAAGACCTCCAGAAGCCTTGAGCATTGGCTGTGCTGACTGGGGCTAAGGAGAGCTGTAACCCAAAACACCTAGAAGGTACTTGTGCTAACAGGATCCACTCCTTGCATAACAAGAAGTAGCAGTAACAGCAGAAACAAGTGGAAACACCTGTGTCAGCAGAGGCCTCTTCTGAGAGATCCACTGACCTGCCTATTCTGGAACCTGGAGTTTCATTCCCTTTTGATCACTGCAGGTTCGGCCGGCTTCCTGTTGCAGTAGCCTGTGCCCGGCTAGCTGGACAATGCCTTTGCTTGCCCAGCACCAATCTACAATGACTGGGTTTCAGACAGACATTTTCCAACGTTTTGGGCCTGTGGGTGCATTTAGAGTTATGGAAAGGGGCCCTGGGCACAACCACAAATTGTGTCTACCCCACGTAGTCTGGCTGGCTGGCTTCCTTCTTCCTTTCTGCCCCCACCCCCAGATCCTCTGTCTCTCTCCCGATTTCTGTGCAAATAAAGGGATCTTTCCCTCCTGAAACCTGGCTGGCAGGGGAACTGAAGCCCACCATCTGCACTAAGGAGCCTGCTGCCCCAGGTGTCTTTTGAAGGGAGGTGGGCTTTTCCCTTCATCCAGTTTTCGGCAGGAAGGGGTTCTTCCTCTCCCTCTGTAAGTTAATGAAGCAATTCTTCTGCTGACTTTCACCCAGTCAGAAAAAGCACCCCCCCCCCGCCCAAGAAAAATCAGCGGCAGGGCTGTGATGTCCACCCACCTGCTGTTGCAAGGGTCACCTGTGAGGGGTGCATTTCACATACACCTTCCAGCCAGTTTTTGGAAGGACGACTTCCTTCTCCCACTCTGCTCCATAAAAGAGAAAGGAGGAGCAGCTTTTGGCAGGCAACAATCCATGAATCATGGGTCACATTTAGCTAAATAGATGGTAAGCTATGGAGATTGATGGATAAGCAGCTTCCCCTAGTCCTGCTTACTGACTATGGGGTTTAAACATGGCATCCCTTATTCAAAAGTGGCCAACATTCGATGTTCAGGATCCATGACAGCAAGTTCAGCATGGTGACAGTTCAGTACATTAGGGAAAGTGACAAAGGTTAGCTGTCCAGCACCTCCATCCTGAATGCACATATTCTGTGCTTAGGGGCCATGGCCCTGAATGGAACCCTGGCCAGGTCTTTAGATGCAGAAGAAAGGAATGTACCATTTCACACTGTAGGTGGGAGATATTTATGAATCTTTCCCTGCATTTGAAACACCGCCCCCCCAACACACCCATCCTTGTAAATGGAACACTGCCACAGTCGACAGAAAGGTTGGACAGAAGCTCCTGCTGATGGGCAATTACGCGCAACTATTCAAAGACAGCATCCCCCCCCACACACACTTTGCAGTGTGAATATGGTACAGCCTGGCCCACCAACTCTTTCTGCTGTTTGTGGATCACAAGCAGCAGACCTGAGTTCCTTGTGATGCATTTTAGGAGCAGGGTTGAAGATTGCATGAAGACTTTCCCCACCAAACAGTAAAGTCCACTTAAGTCAGACGAAGACACAAGTGGCGCACAGTAAGAGACGTTCTCCAGGGAAGTCTTTTGACAGATGGCACAAGGTGGCATAAGTACACATCATTTTGGAACCAGTTAGTTGCTTGTTCATTTTTTAGTTTTTAGGGGTTTTTTTTGGGGGGGGGGAATCTTTTTTCACAGGTTTTGATGAAGCCACTTCAGATAGCTGTCTCTGGTGTTTCGCCCTGCAGAAAAATTGGTCGGCCAAATGGTGAAGATCATGCAGCCATGAAAACAGTCTTCAAAGTGATCGACCATCACTTCCACCCCGGCTTTCTCCAGCCGCTTGGCATACATGAGCCCATCATCTCTCAGCACATCAATCTCACACGTCAAGATGTATGTCTTTGGCTGCAGGTGCAAGACCTCTTTTTCAGCTAGCAAGGGGGCAGCGCAAACGTCCAGCAATGAAGGCATATCCTGGAGAATTTCTACCTTTCCTGTGGTCTGCATGACAGGTTTGTAGTTTTTCCTGAACCTCGATGGCAGAAGGAAAGTCCAGTCCAGCCGTTCTCGGAAGGGTTCAGCCTGACTCACGTCAAGGGATGTGTGATTGTTAATCACCATGGAGTGGGCAAAATCATAGTTTCCATTAAAATAGTCAATCCAGAACTTCGCCATGACAAAGCGGGGAAGCACAGGTGCGGCTTCGTTCTGTTGGTATGAGGGTGTATTGAAATCATAGGGCTGGAGAACTGGATAAATCAATGCCTGCAGTTTAAACCTGTTGGTTACATTCTCCTCTTGACTCATCTGTAGAAGGAAGAAGGCAGAAAACAGGGCACCAGATGCTTGTACAGTGCATAACCGTTTAATTTGCTTCATTTTCTCTATTCTTGCCCCTCTCCAAAAGGGTTAGGTTCTCTTTCAATAAAGTCAGCTCTCATTAATGAGTGGCTATGGCAAAATGGATGACATGGGGACTTACAAGCTTCTTGTAAGAAGATACATGTAAAAAAATTTTTTTAAATATGTTTCAGAATAAAGCCTAAACAACAACAGTGGGATAAGGCTAAAAAAAGAAAAAAAACTTGCTAACAGATTTCTTACATAAAATTAGGAAATTCCATGACACTAAATAAATATGATATATATTCCTGTATTTTTATATGTAGCAACCTTTTTAAAAAGGCAATTATGCATAAATGTCAACAAAGGCAGCCCAAATAACCATGTACTTGTCCCTTTGTAATTACACCAAAGGACCACCTGTTCAAAAATCAGAAGTTTCATTAAGTCTTCAGATGAGTTTTGTAATGTATTGGAAACATCTATACTACTTCACACTTACACAACAAAGCTAATGTAGGTTTACGCTGAAGTCAATCCTATTACACTCAAGGTAAGGCTTCGTGGGATTGCCGTTAAGAGGCTCTTACTCTTATCTCAATTATCCCTGAGGAGAGTTGGGCTCCCTTCCAAGTCCACTGCACATTTAGAAACCCTCCATAAGGTGTGTGACTCCTGGCAGTAATAGATTTAAGTGCTGAGCCTATGCACTGGCTTGATGGAGCCTTCAGTGCTTGGGAATAAACCCGTCATCCATGCTTGGTGGCAGGATGGGAGAGACGAACAGGCATATGGTGAACTGAGGCGCTACGTGTTGCAGTTTGCAGTTCTCTACCTGAGGGGCTGTTTAATGTAAGCCTGGTTTACAGGTAGAGGTCCAGCGGAAGGTACATTACAGAACTGTCCCCTGTTTGAAGGCACTGTCTGCTTTCAGGATAGGAACCTCTTTCAGTCTGTAGGCAAAAAGCAGTTTTGGAGAAGCTCTCAGGGGGCTAATTTCCAGTGATAGCAAAGCGCTCGGGTTCCAAATGCAACTAAATAAATTAATAAAAACCAGCCTATCTTAGTGCTCTTCCTGCTGCTAACAAAGCCTTGGGAGAATAATTTCAACCTTGAAGAATTGGGAAAAACTGCACAAGAGCCAGGGAACCACTGAACAATAGGTGGGGAAGGAGGCGTGGCCCTCCAGGGAACCCCGGAAGGCTAGACTGGGACCTTGCAACAGCCAGATCCAGAGTTTCCCATTGCAGTTTGAATCTGCATGAACGATAAAGGACCATCAGAAGGAAACATAGCCCCAGTGGCTGCACCTGGACAGAGGTTATCTGGTCAGTCCTTCCCCACTAGGGTGAGATGTGCTGCTTTTCCATTTCCATTATAATATTAATCCTAAATGTGCATCAGAACATATGGATGAGGAAGGCAGCAATGCATTTTCAGCCTCAATTTCAGTTCAAGGGTTCAGTTTCAGACAAGCTGTCTAAAGCTGCATTCCCATGATGGGTGGGGACAAAGAGGAAAGGGGCAAGGTCACAATACCAGACATTCCGGTGCATCTTAGCAGAGAGGTCTTGCTGCCAGTAACTAAGCTGCGACTGAAGTGTTCTGAGCTTGCAGAATGGGGAAAGTCTTGCACAAAAGGCAGGAGATGCCCCACCTGTTGATGGCTGGGATCAGGGGATGGGCCATGTTCATCGGGCAAACAAAAGATGGACAGACGACATTCCAAGTAACAGACTGCAAACATTTGCGGCTTTAGAAGGACAACAAATGTGAACTAATGTCCTTTGGGGGTGTTCAAATTCAGTTGCTTTGTTGGGCAGGAATCAGCATAGGAAGCTTGCCTTATACTAGTGTGAGACCATTTGAAACTTGGCAGCACCTCTCCTGATCCGCATCAGATGCTCCCAGGACCTTTCAAGAGAAGATGCTAGGACTGAACCTGGGACTTTCTCTGGGAATATATTTTGCCTCTGAAGTTTGGGATCTCTGCGTGTCCTGCGTGGTTGAAGATGGCTCCACACACATGCCACTGGCACCCCCACATGCTTCTTACCTCTTGGCACACAGCAGCCGCCAAGTTTCCTCCTGCACTGTCCCCAGAGATGGCGACTCGGGTAGGATCAACTGAATAACGAGCCAGGACCTCGGGAAGCATGAAGTGCTTTGTGGCCCGCAAAACATCCTGGAACTGCACAGGGAAATGGAAGTCGGGCACTAGCCTGTACCTGCAAAAGAAGCCGCACCACATTTTGGGCAATGTTTTTATTTTTATTTATTTATTTATATTGTGATTTATACCCTGCCTTTTTCCTACAAAGGGCTCAAGGCAGCTTACATCATCTCTCCTCCATCTTATCCCCACAACAACAACCCTGTGAGGTAGGTTGGGCTGAGAGTCTGTGACTGGCCCAAAGTCACCTAGTTGGCTCCATGGCTGAGTGGGGACTAGAACCCAGATCGTCTGAGTCCCAGTCCCATGCTCTTAACCACTACACCACACTGGCTCTCCGTTTCTGTGAGAGGAGAAGGATGCATTGCTGGGCTTGTTGGAAAGCTGCTCTAGGTTCAGAGGTGCAGCAAGAGCCTGATGGCCCAGCAGTGGGAGAAACGACTGTCACTACTTCTGGTGTTTGTTGTGGATGTCCTCGCAAGAGGGGCAGGGGACCTTCAGAGCCTGCTGGTGCATTCTGAAATGCATGTTTTGGTGGTGGGTGGGAAACTGTAGCTCTTCAGACAGTGGTGGGCAGTGTAATTTCAGACCCTGGACCACATGCTTTTCTGGGGCTGTCTTCAGATGGCCACATGGATGAATTCTGAAAACACCCAACCAATGTGGGTGGTTCTGAAACACACAACCAATGTGTCTCTTCAGAGCACTGGACCTGATGGCCTTCATGGCCCCGTCCAACTCTACTATTCGATGGCCTTCATGGCTCCTTCCAACTCTACTATTCGATGGCCTTCATGGCCCCGTCCAACTCTACTATTCGATGGCCTTCATGGCTCCTTCCAACTCTACTTGTCTATGATTCTTCCCCACTGTAAAGCCACACAGAGCTTTACAGATGCTGCAACATTTCTGACCAGCTAAAACAGCAGCAAAGCTGCTTGCCAGCAATTTGGAGCATGGTTTCCATTTTCAACCTGTTTAAATCCTAGGGCCATCATGACCGCAGGAATACAACGGAGTTTGCTTCTGCTGCACTGACACCCTGGTCAGTGGCTGGTCTCCAGGTGGTCATTGGGGAGGCAGCATTTTGGCCCCAAGGTCTGGCCCTGCTTGCAGCACTGCTGCCTGATGCTGCTGGAACCCATCAACCCCAGCCAGCATGGCCAGGGATGATGGATGTTGTTGCCCAACATCAGGAGGGCCTCTGATTCCCCTCCCCCAGTTTCAGGTTTTGCGGGACTCCCTGTTGCTCCTTCCAAATGGCTGGAAAGAAAGAGTGCACAGAAAGAAGAGAATGCACAAAAGCAGTGGGGGGGATTCTGGGAAGGTGGTCCTTTTGTCCCTAGATCTAAGGGAACAGTTCTGGGGGAGCAAGTTGGCATGTAAAACTCCCAGCATGTCTGACCATTAGCCCTGATGACTGAGGCTGATGGGAGTTGTAATCCAACCTGTCCTATTGCATCCTTCACTGGAGCCATGGATGCCACATTAAAGACGGCAGGGGCAGGCAAACCGACTACCTATTATTGAGTCAACTGCTGTTGCAAAAAAGTCTTTCCGTCTGCTGACATTAAGCTGAATATGGAGGAATCTGGTTGCCGGTTCGAGGGGCCTTTTCCCACTCTGCTCTCCAGATGCTACTGGAATATGAATGCCATCAGCCCTAAGCACTGGCTGTGATACTTAGGGAATACGGGAGCTGTAGTCCAACAAGGATCTGGAGCTCCAAGGACAGGAAAAGCAACTTGAGAGCATAGACATTTCTCTATCTATCATTCGGACGTTGCCGTCTCGATGAAATTGCACCCTCTCGCCACCATGGTGGCAATGAATAACAAGAACATCAGATCAAACGCAGGGCACCCTGTCCAGTCTTGCCTTCGGTGTCTGCTTCCTCTCGGTACAGCGAAGCAATACGGCAAAATCGGCTTGCCGGAAAGAGTCTGTCATGAAAAAGTAAAGCCACTAGATGGCAACGTCTGCAAAGGTCTTCTTCAAGCTGAACTGCATGACTTGTGGAAGGGAAACCAGACAATCCAGCCTACACATTGTTAAGACATTTAGGTTGAACTGGAGGGTCCCAGCCCTTGAATGCACGGGAGCCTTGTGAGCCTTCACAGCTGCAAGCCCTGATGTTCACGTAGATGTAAAGGCCATCTAGATAAAGCGCTGGGGAGGGAAGGAGGCAGGGCCTTGGGCAGGAACAGGCATAAGGCGACAGCCCCAGCCTCCTCTCCTCCCCAGCCCCTGCCATGCCCTCTGGTCTTCCCCGAGGCCTAGTGGCATTCTCAGAGAGGCAGCCAGAGTTGTCCTTTTGGTGCTGGCTGTGATGAGGGCAAGAAGGTTACAGGAGCTTGGAGCTGCGGTCCTGAACAAGCTTATGGCCCTGCAGACCAGGTCTAGTAGAGAAAAAGTTCTACAGAGGCCAGCATGTCTCAGCCAGGGCAGCCTCTGAGAACGTTGCAGGGTTCCAGGACTTTTTCCTGCCTAAAGAATTGTGCCCTTAACCTGACAACCTTGGACCGGTCCTTTCCCAAGAATGTGCTATTGAGCCAGAGAAAGGAATCTGCTGCTGAGTTGGTTTAAGGTTTGCGCATTAACCTGTAAAGCCTTGAGCTGACTGAGACCGGGATGCTGAGAGAGCAACACCTTCAGTACAGATCTGCAGGACCGCTGCCATCACTAGAGGCCCTCCTGTTGTCCCACTCTGCAGCTGCCCATCCAGCAGCAACCAGAAAAGGGGCCTCTCCTGTGCTGGCCCCCACTTCCCTCCCCCCGGAAATAAAACATGCACTGACCCCAGTCCAGATTCAGCACATGCTGAGGAATGCTTTATTTGCCTCAGTGTGTTTGGAGTCCTGATGGCTGTGCTGTGGCTTGTTAGTTCACGGCCTGCTAATTATGTTTGCGTACCTTGGAAGTAAGTTCTAAGGTGTATTATTAGCACACTATGCCGTTAAACATGAAAGGCAGTACAGAAAGAGTTTTACACAAAGAAATAAATTAAAAATTGCCTCAGTTGGCCATTGTCCCATTCTGCAGATGGTACATGTTTTATTTGAATTCTACTGAAATCCAAGACACATCTATGACTTGATTACACGCTCTCTGTGCAATCTACTTACTCAATAGAGATAATTACTGCATCCAGCGATTCAGCCATAGCCAAGCAGAGATTGTTGTAGTAGCTTCCTCCTAGAATTAGAGATATACACAGTCAAATTAATTTCACACAATCTCAACCAATCTTTATCCCAAGTGCCTGGGGAGGGGGGCGTCACCGCACTGTTTTGGCCTACATCTCCCATCAGTGTCAGTTAGGACAGATGACGGTGAAGGATGATAGGAATTGGAAGCTTGAGTGCCATCACGTGAGTAGCCAAAATGGCACCATCCATGCACAACGGGGAGTTAGCAGTAGGTCTGGGGGCCCCAAAACATTGCAAAATGCAACAAATCCTTGGGGGAAGACACCATAGGTAGGGGTACTCTGAAAAACCATCTGGACTGAGCATATTCAGTGGCTACAGAAGGCTGACTGGCTGGAGAAAATGGAAGCCTGAAGATGGAAGAGAATGAAACAGAGTATCTTAGTGTGGGGACATGACTGACTGGAATGGTAAACAAGGGCGTTTCATAGAAACATAGAAACAGAGCGAGCCAGAAGGGGTCCCCTGGGCCATCTAGTCTGACCTCTGGCACCAGCCAGCTCCGCTCATGACATGCACATGGTGGGCCTATTTTTGAACACCCTCACCGTTTTGTGCTGCAACGTTTTATTGTTGCATAAGTCAAGGGCAGTCTCCTCCAACTTGATGCCCTCCGGAGGAGTTGGACCTCCTCTCCTCTCGAACTGGCTGATGGTGAGATTTGTCAACCCACAACATCAAGTCACTGAGGGCTGGCCTGGATTCTAAGCCCTTCAAGGTTGCAGTGCTAGCTTGCTTGGATGTAGCTATCAACTGGTGGCTTAGAATGAAGCACTCTTGGCTATCCTCAACTATCTATGTGCCTGAAGCATAAAATCATGCATGGTGCGGGGACGATTGGAAAGAGAACATTTTCTCCCTTTGCTATCCCACTTTTGCTTGGATCACCCAACTAAACTGATTGGTGGTTTATTTAGGAGAGATGGAGGAGAGGCCTTCCTCAAACAGATGCACTAAGACCTTACAGAACTGCCTGCCTCAAGTTGTGTGGAGGACAGCTTTACTTTTAAAGGGGGATTAAATGCATTCACGGAGAACAGAACTGCCTGCCATGGGATGGGCCTTTGATCGGATACCGGCCAGGCTCTTCTTCTCTGAACCATAGAAGGACCTGCAGCAATTTCCATTCCCAGTGGCACATCTTCCAGCAACCATCATGACACTTGCTTCTTCTGACAAATCTGTCAGCATTCACAAATCATATCTCCAGACATGCTTGCTTGCAAGGATCTTTCACGTGTCAGAATTGGACTAGGCAAACTACAGAGTCTGCCCCCGCTGGGCAGAATGTAGCAATTGCCGCAGGTGGCAGATGCTGGAAGGCAACATCCAGGTGATGGAGAGAAGAGCTGTGGGCCACGTCACCTGCCATATGCCCCCTACACTAGCCTGCTGCCTTCAGGTGCACCGGAGGGAGCTGTGCCATTGCCAGTAAGGAGAAAGATTCAACTACCGGCCCAGTTCACTTTTGTAGATGGCATGCAAAGGGTGCCGTCTGGTTCTTTCCTTCAAGCACCAACATGTCTTGGAGCTACCCTGGGGTAGTACTTTGCTCCTCTCCAGAGGATGGGGACTTTAGAACATGGGTGGGTACACTTTGTCTGTTTCCACTAGAACTTTCAGGTCTACTGACCTGCACCCAGGTGCAAGATAGTGGCCTTCTTGGGCAAGACTAAAAATGAAGGAATAAGAATTGCTCAGTCTGGAATCTGTGCTCAGTTCCACAACCAGCCCACAAATCCTCTCCCATAAAAACCCAGTCTTGGTTTTCCCTGAGCATTCTCTCTCAGCAACCCAATCTAACTGGATCCTTCCGTCCGTCCGTCCGTCCTTCCTGTTTTTTGCTTTTTTTTCTTTGCTTCTGTCATTAGACCATTAGGAGTCAGAAACCTTTGTGAACCTACTGCAAATCTCCCAAAGATTCCAACCCACATTGTGACCACCCCTGCTTTGGTAAAACCGTGGTAACTTCTCTAAGGGTGCAAAATAGGAGTGGGAAAACTGGAGTAAAAGGGAGCTTGAAGGGGCACGTACTTGCACTTGCCAATGCCCAGCCTCCTCCATGGATGTAGACCACACTGCGCCTCAGCGTTTTCTCCTGTTCTGCAGAAGGTTCATACACTCTGACCTCCACACCATCAAACTGTGTATCTGTTATCTTCACATGCTCCGAGGAGTGTGGGTTATTTAGTGTCTCAAAGACACTTATGACAAAGTTGAGAACCCGCAGGTGATGGCCGAGTCCCAGGAAATGAGCTAGGTTACACTGGAAAAAAGCAGAAGCAAAAAAGGAGAAGGACTTGAAAGATGCCAAACACACCAATGCAAACATTAACTCTGCTGTTTGCTCTAGGATAGGCTTTGACTTTTTACTTTTTCTAATACAGCTCTCCCAAAGTTGGTGGCCTTGTGACTGCAACTCTTAACAGCAGCTGTGCTGGATCAGACAAAAGGTCCCTTCTGTTCAGTATTCTGTTCACACAGTGGCTAACAAGTGGAACACAAGCACAGTATCACACCTAGCTGTGTTCTCCAGCAACTGGTATACACTGACATTCTGTCTCTGATACCAGAGGTATGAATCTACAGATTTTTTTAAACTCCATTCTGTGTGCCATAGATTGTCAGACATATTTTATTTCATCATCTGCTCACTGACAAAGTCAGAATTTTGAAAAACAGAATGTTGTTATGATTGTGCATAGGCCCCAATTTGCATCAGTTAATGCATATTAGCATGAAGGGTTATTAACTAATGTGGATCAATGCATTTCCACAGATCTGCATTAGGTCAATTCCCCTCCAAAGTGAAAAACTGATATGCAAGTCCACCAAATCCACATGATTTGGAAAAAAACCGCTTCGCTTAGGAATTCACAGGTTGGATTCACAGCAACTTGAACTCATTTGAACCTACTGGGAATTTAACAGGACTAGTAGCCACGGATGGCCTCATCCTCCATCTCTTTTGACCAATCTCCTTTAAAAGCCATCTGAGTGTCCATTGCATCTTGCAGCATCCAATTCCATAGTTTTAACTATGTACCGTATACTTCACTTATCTGTCCTTAATGTCCAGCTAATCAGGTTCTTGGGATGATCCCTTTGGATTCTGGTATTATATGAGCAGAAGAAAAAATGCCTTCCTTTCTGTTTTCCCCATACCAATGATTATGCTTGTGAGAATGATGGGAGCTGTAATCCACTGCATTCCAATAGCACTAGACTGGAGACAGCTGAAGTAACAGAACTGCATAAGTTCAAAAGCTGAAACTCATTCGTAGGTGCTACGTTTTTATTTCCTCTAGCGTTCTTCATTTTCTCTTGCCCTGTGATAGCGTGAGGTACAACATAAACCCTTCTCACATTTCCCACATGTGCAGAAGACTGGCAGCAGTTTCTCCAAGGGTGGCACATGAAGGGACAGAGCTTAATGCACATACAAAATATATACATGTAACCATGTTGCAACAAGCTTCCAGGTGTAGCTATGGAGGCCACTTGAAAGGTTGGCAATGTGACTTCCAGGACTTGAAAGTTAGGTGCTGGCTGTGCTGCGGGGACTGAACTGATGAAATGCAAGTTTTGAGACTGAAAACATTACAGGGTGTCTGAAAGTTTAAAAGGAGAACACAGAACACCAAGAGGATGCAGGGGGTGGGGAGAAAAACCTTTGGCAGGGATTTTGTAACTGATCAGAGGAATAACAACTAGCAGTTGCAAAACAGTTACATTTTCTAAAAAAAAGGGTATTGAAAACAGGCTGATTACATTCAAACCAGATCCCCCCCCCCCCCGTGTGTGTGTGTGTGTGTTTTAATATGGATCTGAACAACTAATGCAGCTCTTCTACCCTATGGCCAACTTGCGCAAACACTTCTGGGCTCTTTGAGTTGGGTTCGCTCCAACTCAGCACAGAGGAAATGTGGCAAAAAGACTGTCTGGAAGCTCTGCTAAGGCCAAAGGGCCAGTTTGGGACTGTGCAATAAATGCTGTGGAATCTTCCGTTGCTGGTAGCAGCACCCAAACTTAAGAACAGCCAGTTGCCAGACTCTCACTACTCCATCGTGGGAAGTAAAGGTGTGGTGTATACGATAGAGCAGCCTTCCCCAACCTGGTGACCTTCAGAGGCATTTGGAGTGCAACTCCCAGAATTCCCATCCAGCAAGGCGATTGACTGGGAATTCTGGGTGCTGCAGTCCAAATGTATCTGGAAGGCACAAGGTTGGGGAAGGCTGATATGGAGAAAACGAGAATTGCCACCTGTGCATAGGCAGCTTGGAGTCCATGTTGCTGAACACGTTGGCGCTTGCTTCTGCTTAAAAATGCATACAACTGGGGTACAAAATCAAACCAGGAATGTATGTCTGTGGCCTATATATTGTCCAATGTACATTTTGCCTATGTAAGATACTGATTGCATTCAGATGGAACGCAAAACCATGGTTTCTTGTTATGAAAAATCTCCTTGGGCTTGTGAATTCCTCGCTCCTACAACTGCAAGGGGTAGACTGGAAAATCTCACTTCTCTTTTCAGTTAGTCTTAGTGTCACATTCAAACCCTAAACTGTAGTTAAACTTAACTACTGTTCATTGAACCAAGGTAACTGCATAAGCCACCCCTGCACAAACCAGGGACAACTTTTTCAGCCCTGGGGTCATATGTGGAGTTGGCAGGGAGTGCACATGCATGTGTAAGCACAAACACATATGCAGGGGTAGAAGGCAAGCACAACCACACTCTCACAAACTTGCACACACATGCTGGTGGAGAGGCATGCATGCATTTTGAGGTGGTAAGGAGATACACAGAGACAATGGAGAACACACACACTGCCTTGAGCTTCTTGAAGGAAAAAGCAGGATAAAAATGCAATTATTACAAAACATTTGGGAGACATACACTTCCCCCCAAGCTCTACTACATTAGAATTGTGCATTATCACATCCTGCTCTTTGAACCACAGCCTTTCAGACCATTGTGTGAAAGGGCAGCTTTATCATAGAGCAGTATTGTTTTCATTTATGGGTGAAAAAAGTGTGCAACTTGTATAGTGTGATGACTTGTGTCCTGAAACAAACCACAAAGGGGAATATACTGAGACAAACATAGCAAGCTGAAAATACATTCAGAAATAGGGGAAAGTTCACTGGCCACATTCCAAGCAATATAAAACCAGCTGGTGCTGCCCAAGGGCACAGAGAAAGGGAGTCACACTGTACAGAACCATCTATCTTTTGCAAGGTGGCTACTTAAAAGAGTGTCGCCATGCAGCAGCTGCCTCCGAATGGAACCCTAGACACTTGCAGCCAAAAGAAGAGACCAATAAAGCTTTCTTCCAGGTATAGGACTGCACATTAAAATCTTCTTTTTAAAGCTGATTTTAGACATTAGACCATAAGAGAACTTGGTGGAAGCCGTCTAACCTGAAATTCTTGACAAGCCAATTTGGATCTATTTCCTGGTCAAGAAAACTAGGAGAAGCTAGTCCACCCACTAGTTTCTTTTTTATTGCTTCTTCTGAGCCATTTCTAGCTTTTCCCCCCACTTATACTATCTGTCATGCAAAGGTATCACTTGGGAGAGGGAAGATAATGTTCCCCTTCCTCTATCCCCCACCCCCCAATCAAATCCTGGCGTTTTAGACTGCTTTTCTATGGAAAAATGGAAATGTTAGTGAACTTATCAGTTCTATATGGCTACTGTTATAACACAAGAATGGATCTAGGCACCAGTTGTCCCCATGCTTTAAAAGGGTGATTGACCGATGTTGGACTCATCTGTAGCACGAGTCAAGAATTCCAGCAGCTTCTGCCAACAGAGCCAATCCAGTCCATGGTGCCTCCTGATCTGGCATGTGCTACCTCTTGGGGTTGCTCCAGGGGACAAGGCTTTGGTCCCAGGCCTCACCCTCGGGAAGCACCCCTTCAGAAGGCATCATCCCACTGCTATCTCTGATCTCAGGTAGCAGGGATTCCCCTGCAGCCACACACCAGCCTCCAAATTGTATGCAACTGAGGATAAACCCTGGTTGGGACTCAGCCACCCGTGAGACGGAGACAGTGCAGTCAGCATGCTGGAATGGTTATGAGTGAGGGGTTAGGGGAGGAAATTGCTGGGCTCACAACCTCATTCAGCCACTGACTCACTGCTCACCTTGGATCATATTCCCTCCCACACTTGGGGGAAGAAAAGAACCCTCCTGCTTACAACATCGAAAAGACCATGAATGATTTGCTGCTGGCCTGAAGTGTCAAAGCGCTTTCAGAGTCAACAAGTAGAAGCGAGAAATGGCAATTCAGCTTTTCTCTCCCTCTCCTTTCCGAGTGAGCTAGTAGTTGCTTAAGTCAGTGGTTTCAGAGAGAGTTTTTTCTCAGCCCCATCTGGAGATGCTGGGGATGGAACCGGGGACCTTTTGCGCACAAAGCACATGATCTACCACTGAGATGCAGCTACATCGCTGGCGAAACTTTATCCTTCCCTTACTGCCTTAATAAAGCAAATGCAAGATGTGGAGGCAACCATGTCGTCCGTGAGACTTCAAACCCCCGCCACGCCAGCTTACCCTTGAACAAAATAGATCAAGGCTGCTACCTTCTAACGAAGCCAACCCGGCTTATTGTTGCCGAGCTCATCAGCTAGGAAGATGTTCTGTTCTGGGACTGGATTGGATTAGGCGGGTGATGGAAAGCAGAAATCCAATTTCAGAAGCTGATATGCTGCCCGTTTGGGAAGATGGATCTGACAGCTGTACAGAGGCAATGCTGGGGTTTCCAGTGGTGGCCTCTTGGCAGTTTATATCAGTCACATGCCTTGTGCAGTCAAAAACAGGGAAGCTGCACCCACAATGAGACACTTCTAGCTGAAGTGTCACGATCCATTTTTCTAGGATCCATGTGCTAAGTCAAGGCAGAGGTCAAGAAAGGTTAAGAAAGGGATGGGACTTGCTAACCTGCCCTTCTTCTGGACTTCCTGGGGACATCAGGCTGGCCGTGGGTGCAGACAGATCACCAACTCAATGGATCTTCCTCATCCCTGAGCTCATCACTTGTCAGCTCAATTAATTTTAACTTCCTGTTGACTGTATCATGCAAATGAATGAAACTAAATCAGTTCCAGTAATGATGCAACAGGAACCAACTGTATAAACAGCAATTCTGTGGCACTTGGTTCGAAACACTACATACCTTTAATTCTTGCAACAACCCTGCATGGTAGGCTAATATTTGCATCCCTACACTCAGGATATCAATGCAGTGGGGAGGAGAACAGTAGCTTTTGTTTAAATATAGGCTGGCCCTTTGCATATTTACTCAGAGGTAAACCCTATTGAGAAAAAGAAACAGGTGTGTCCTAGATCGAAACAAGCCAGAGTTTTCCCTAGAAGCAAAAATGAGATAATGAGAAGGCAAGACTCCCCAGAGAAGACAATCATGCTAGGAACAGTGGAAGGCCGAAGAAGAAAAGGGACACCAACTACGAGATGGAGCAAGTCCACAAAGGAAGCCACAGCCTTGAGAAAGGACATTTTGGAGGGCTTTAATTCAAAGGATTGCTGTTAGTCAGAGATGAATTGATGGCACATAACAACCACAAGCCTTACTGAAGCCAATGGAAATTACTCCTCTTGGGAGGATCCTTTGCTTGGTGGCAAAGGGTACAGGTAGAAAAGTCCCAGGTTCAGTCTGTGGCATCTTCAGTGAAAGGAACTCAGAAAGCAGGTGATGAGAAAGAGCAGCCCACAGGCAGCTGGATGGACAAACCGTCTCACAGAACCACACAATACTAAGTGGTTCTCCAAAAGAGAGGCTAAAGCCCAGCTTTCCCTAACTTGGTACCTTCTGGAGGTAAGGGGCTGGGAACCACAGGGGCTGGAGGTTGGGGGTGGCTGCAGCAAGTGCTCTAAGCGCAAATAAGCACTATATATGTGCAGACCAGTGTGCCAACTTCACCCTCTCCTCTGGCATTCTCATCACCCTCCACAAATAGAGGGTGCTTCTTTGCAGCAGAAGGATAATCAGGGAAATTGGGTTTCTAAATTGCAAGGGCAGCCTCCGCAGAGAGAGGAGGCCTTCTCTTGCAGACAGTCGCCCTCTGTAGGTGGCTTGCCAGTCCAGACTGAGAATGGCAGCAAGTGCGGGGCAGAAATAGTGCGCTCGTTACTACTCCTGCTTCTCACTTCTAGGGGTTACTTAGAACATCTGTACAAGGTTATATGCGGGCCCCGAAGTACGTGCAACACAGCAGCCCTGGTAAATCTGGGGGCTAGGAGTGAGCAAATACCTGACTCACAGCTCATAAGCATGGCTACTGTTACGGCTGTATGGCCTTTGTAAAATCCGCTCTGCGTTACAGAATTGTCAGGCATTTTTTGTTCCATCAACCTTTCACTGATAGATTTGGATTCTTTTAAAAGTAGGATTTCTTCCTCTTGCACCAATGCACATTAGCAGTAATATGTGCTTGTGCTAATGCCCATCATTAAAGTGCAAAGCAACCTCCCACAACTGGAAAACCAGTCACCAGGTTTGCAAGTGAATGGGCAAAGCCTGGCCTGCCACAGAATCCATAGAAATCTGGACGCATGTGCACCTGTTGCAGATTTCTCTGTCATCCTGAGCTCTGCTGATGTGCTGCCTCACCTGCCATGATGAACAAGACTCCCAGTGCAGTTGAAGGGGAAAGCAAGGGGATGAATGAGGGGGGAGGGACAAGATGCCCCTTTCTCCCCGAAAAACCCCTAGTCGTGCCCTGTCCAGAAGACTCCTCTCTGGAAGGCGTCTGGGAATGTCCTTCTGCACCCTGAGCCAAGTATCACAGAGATGCTGGCTGAGGCTTGAGACTCTGAGGTGGATCAGGAGAACTCAGGGCCACTGGCCCTTCCTCATAGTTACCCCCTCCCAAACTCAGTGGCATAAAGGCTACCTTGTCCCAAAGAGTGCAGGTGCCCAAACATCAGAGCACAGTCAGCTTCCAAACATGAGGAAGCTGAAGAAAGGCGTGTTCATGAAGGATGCTCTGCACATGAGCACACCTTTCCTGAAGTGACACAAACGGACTGCAGCTGGGCTCCTCTGGGGGTACTGAAAGTGTAGGCTTGAACGCCCCTCAGTTCCAAACAATTTCATGTTGGTTTTTGAGTGGATGGTGGGGTAGATAAGCCCTGGGCCAAGGACCAGAGGTAGTTGTTTCAGTACATTCTCCAGCCCTGAGAAGAACACAAGGGACTCTTTATTTGGCTTAACATATCAAAAGAAAAACTTAACTTAAAAACAAAACAAAACAAAATAGAGGTTTTGTCATTGGGCCAAAGTGCCTCATGTGCCAAGATAAAAAGCAGTCGAAGTAAAGCTCTTAAGCCCCTTGTTCAGAAATGAAAGGCGTTCAAGCCTCCCCTTTCTATTTGTATATTTTTGTAGGGTTACATGTTTTGCTAAACTGGTCCAACAGGGTGAGCCTTTGGCAGAATCCAAACCAGATACAATGTTGCCATCCATGGTAACTTACTCCCAGAATAGCTTGGAGCGCTGCAGCCGACTTCAAATTATTTAACTGCTTCTTCATACATGGACGGATGTGCAGACCCGCAGAATGTGATCAGGACCATGGCACGGGGGAGGAACCCTGTGGTGCAACTCTTGGGTTACCTTTGCACTCAGCATAGGAAGGATTTTCAGAAACCGTTCTGTTTTTCAGGTCTGCAGCCCAGTTCTACCACTTCAATTATTAAGGCAGATAGGAAAGATGCAGTGCATTTGGATATTTGTTTTAATTTTTGGCTATTACAGCTAGTGGTGCTATCGGTGTAGGACTTTGAGGAGAGCTCCAAGGTTCCACACAGCAAACTGTGCAGGAGGGACCGCAAAGCATCAGGGTCGCCTTATCGTAGTTTGAAGCACTCCCTCTAACGAATCCCCTGCTGCTGCCATAAAACCATTATAGAGATTTAAGGTGCTCCAGATGAAGTACTATTCAGGCTTTTCTTCCTTAACAAATTTGTTGAGTGGTAATCCTCACATTATTTCAAACTGTTTCATCATTATTGTACTTGTTATGATGATCTGTCATCAGTGATCTTTGATGTTAGTCTAGGAACTGTTTTGGGCTACGAGAAACCACACCCATGTAAGTTGGGGAACTTAACTGATAACTGTTAAATGAACTTAATGCTGCTCCAGTGACCAGCAGTTGGCCCCATCTCTCTCCCTCTCCTCAGGACTCCCAATTCCCTGAGACACAACAATGCCGACATGAGGCTGATTAGCAACCCCGCAATGGCCTCTAAGTCACGGGTCCTCAAACTAAGGACAGCGGGATGGATCTGGCCCACCATGGCCATCCATCCGGCCTGCGCCACTGTTCGCCGCCCGCGTGCACGCTTGCTGGGTGGCCAGGGAGGTGGTGGCTCGCTCGCTCCGAGATGGTCTCCAAGTGAGCGAGCCGCCGCCGCCACCTGCCTCCCGCAGCTGCCTCCCACCTCACTGGCCCAGGCCACAGCCTTTCAACTGGCCCCCTATTCAAAAAGCTTGAGGACCCCTGCTCTAAGTGTTCAAGTGAAAGGAAGAGCTGCCATAGATAGTGAGTCCTCTGATGGTCTGGGCAAGGTAAACTGAAAACCTTCTGGAAAGGATTCACCATTCTAGATGCCCTTAAGAACATTCGTGATTCATGGGAAGGGGTTAAAATATGAACGTTGGCAAGAGTTTGGAAGAAGTTGATTCCAACCCAAATGGATGATTTTGAGGGGGTCAAGACTTCAGTGGAGGAAGCAACCGCAGATGTGCTGGAAACAGCAAGAGAACTAGAATTAGAAGTAAAGTCTGAAGATGTAGCTGAATTGCTGCAAGCTCATGATAAAACTTCAATGGATGCGGAGTTGCTTCTTATGGATGAGCAAAGAAAGTGGCTTCTTGAGATGGCATCTGCTCCTAGTGAAGATGCTGTGAAGACTGTTGAAATGACAACAAAGGATTTGGAATATTATATAAACTTAATTGATAAAGCAGGGGCAGGGTTTGAGAGGACTGATTCCAATTCTGAAAGAAGTTCTACTGTGGATAGAATGTTATCAAATAGCATCACATGCCACAGAGAAATCTTTTGTGAAAGAAAGAGTCAATCGATGTGGCAAACTTCACTGTTGTCTTATTTTAAGAAATGGCCAAAGATAGCCCAGCCTTCAGCAACCACCACCCTGATCAGTCATTAGACATCAACACTGAGGCAAGATCCTTCACCAGGAAACAGATATGACTTCCTGAAAGCTCAGATGACGGTTAGCATTTTTTTTAGCAATGGAATTATTTTTAATTAAGGTATGCACTTTTTTTAGATATAATGATATTGCACACTTAACAGACTACAGTATAATATAAAAATAACTTGTATGTGCACTGGGAACCAAAATAATCATGTGACTCATCTTATTGTGATATTTGCTTTATTGCAGTGATCTGGAACTGAACCTGCAATACCTCTGAGGTATCTCCATGCAAGTTGTACCAAGTCTGCTGTGGAACCTTGAAGAGAATTGTGCAAAGTATCCAAGGAAATTACCCAGAGGGACTGAGAATGGAACATGCACAGCCTTTATGTGCAAGGAAATCTCTCATCATGGTGCCCCTGAGATGCTTATCTGATCCTCCTACTCAAGAATCCTTGGCGAATATCCAAAGAACTCCAGCACTCCTCCAGAGTTTTGCTTTAAAAAAAAAAAGTAAAAGTATTGGAGTAAAAGCCAGTCCATATTTTAAAAGAATGGGCTGGTATTTCAAGCTTTGCACATTGCTCCCTGTCACATCCATTTCTAAGGAGGCCAGGAAGCAAGCAAAATATATTTGTTATCCATAAAACAGCTTTATGTTTTGCCTTGTGTCTGTAGTTATTTATTGTGTTTGTAGGGTTGAGCACTAGGAAAGGCAGGATATAAAGATCTCAAATACATAAATAGCACTCCAGTACCCAAAGCAAAGCCTCTCAAACTAATGCACTTTACTAACATCAGGCTGCAATCCTGTACCCATTTCCTCGAGAGAACCTTCTACTGAATCTAATGAGACTCCCTTCCTTACACTGGGGCTTGTTTACTTCCGTGCAGGCACAGATGGCATTTCTCTACAAATCCAAAATAAAATCGTGTTGGGAGAGGGGTGCAGGATGACAAAAATCCTTGTTGTTGTTGTTGTTAGTCGCGAAGTCGTGTCCCACCCATCGCAACCCCATGGACAACACTCCTCCAGGCCTTCCTGTCCTCCACCATTCCCCGGAGTCCACTCAAGCTCACACCGACTGCTTCAGTGACTCCATCCAGCCACCTCATTCTCTGTCGTCCCCTTCTTCTTTTGCCATCTATTGTTCCCTACAGGTGGCCTAAAAGTCATTTTCAGTAGAATAAAAGCAGATCAGTATAGACCTTTTTGTGTATGCAACTTAACAAAGCTGGCCATCATTCACAAAAATACAAAGAAGGTCATGGAAGGTCAGTTCTCCACCCGAGCCTCAACACAAGCATTAGGAAATCATTTCAAAGCATGTAGAATACAGAAGAGCCCTTATCTTAAACATGGGTTCAGAGCCTCTATGGGTGCAATAAGTCCTACAATTCCCGGCATTCACCAGCCAGTAAATTCCCCTCTGTCTAAACGTCCATAGGATTGTCCAAAAGTACTTCCTTCAACTCCGGTGCTGCAGCTGATTCGAAAGAGAAAAAAAAAAGAGGGAGGTCGGAGGGAAGGAAAGCTAATGCTGCGAAGGCAGATGAGAGAGAGCGATGCCGAGGCTGGCTGGCAGTTTGAAGGGCAGGACGCTTCGGGGTCTCCTTTCCAGCTCTCGCCGTGCAACAGTGGCGTGGCTTTTGCAGAAGGAAGAGCTCCGCGGGCGGGTGGAAGCGCTGAACACTCAGTGCGTGACGGAGGGCGGGGGGACACGGGAAGTGAGGCGCGTTACCGAACCCACCCCACGGGAAGCGCCGCTTTTGTGGGCTTCCCGCAGGGGGGTGCGCAGGGCCGGAGGCGTGAGACCATGGGGCTGGATCAGAGGGGGCCTTGGCGCGCGCCGGCGGGGTCCTCCTTCGGGTCCCCCCCGCCCCGTGTCCCGCAAGAGGCGCGCCGCGCGTGCATGCACGCATCTTGCAGCCGCGCGAGAGCACAGCTTGGAGCGCAAGACGAACCTGTCCCCGAGCGACGCCGGCGACGCCTATGGGAGCGAGGCTCGCCATTGACATAGTGGGAAATGAATCAGTCGAGGCCATTTCCGCGGGGCAGCCCGGCAGGCGAAACCGGGCCCGCGAGCGGGACCATTCATTCGCCCTCGGCGGGCTGCCGCGGTTTTCCCAGGGATGGCGGGAGGGACGCGAGGCGCTCCGCTGCGGCGGGCGCTCTGCTTACCGTTTGCTGCGCGACCCTGAAAGACGCATCCAGCAGCATGAGCCGCCACGGCTCCGAGACGGTGCCGGGCAAGGGCAGGTAGACATAATAGGCAGTCAGTGCCAGGAGCCCGGCGAGCAGGACAGCGGCGGACTTCATCCCGAGCGAGGAGGAGGAGGAGGAGGATGCCGCCGTCGCCCGTAGCGCCGCCTGTCTCGCCCTCCCTCCCGCAGCGCTGCTGGGTCGGGCTTGGTTAGGTTTGTAAGGAGCGACTGTGGTGCGGCAAAGGTTGCTCGCGGCCCCCATTCATGGGTTTCATAACCTCCGCAAGCCAATCAGAGGGGCAGAGGCAAGAGGAAGTCCAGGCTCTTCCGTCCCCCGGGGAGCCGCGTGCCCTTGCGACTGTTTTCATTTCGGGTCGCCGCCGCCGCCGCCCGCCGCCGCCGCGCGCGGAGACGCCTAGGGGTCGAGGAGGCGCTGCGCGCCACCCCGGGGACGCTTTCGCCCGGCAGCTCCGCCCTTCGGTTATCTTTACTCTACATCAGCTGTGTAATTTTGCACCCTGAACTGAAGGCCTGGTGGGCCGTCCTTCCCACTTAGGGGGCATCTGATAGATCCATCGATCCCTTGATCGATCGCTTGTATTTCTGTACCGCCCAGCAGCCGAAGCTCTCTGGGCGGTTCTCGACAGTTGAAACCAGAAAATGCAAGATAAAATTATCTGTAAACTGCAGCACAGCATATTGCATTTCGATAGAGCTTGATAGGCGAAGTTCTTTAAGAGGTTCCTGACAGTTAAGGCCATGCAATACAAATGGGACGGTATATAAAAGCTTTTAAAAAATACAACATACAACACACCATAAAAGAGTAAAAGGTTTAAAATACAGTATAAAATAGAAGAGTTTAAAAATGGTTTCAGTTCTATACTGTCCAAAAGCAGACGCTCTCTGGGCAGAAATTTACAAAACCTGGGTCCCTGGAATTCATACTTGGCATCTCAACCGAGCTGCACCGCTCTTCTGGAGCAGATACAGGGCTCCTTACTTTGACCAGGACCTAACGTGGAGCCGAGGAGGCCTCTAAGAGCAGTGCTGCAGTCTCTTTGCCTAGCCTTGAGCAGACATGAGCAAAAGACGTAGCTGCTAGGTACAAATGTAAGTAATGCCTATTTTGAGCCTGAGCTTGTTCTGTGACATGGTGTCCTGACGAAGGAAGCCCTCCAAAATGTCCTCTCCATGACAGCCCTGCTCAGCTCCTGCAAACTCAAGGTTGGGCCTTCCATTAGGAAGTATTCCATCTCATAGTTGGCCTTCTTCTTTCTTCAGCTTTCCTGGATGACTGTCTTCTCCAGGGAGTCCTGTCTTCTCATGATGTATCCAAAGTACGGCAGCCTCCCTTTGGTCAATGTTTGCTTCTAGGAAAAGCTGTGGCTTGATTTGATCTATGACCTCCTTGTTCATCTTTCTCCCCCTAAGCTTACTTACCTAGACTGTCCTGTGACCATGCGTCATTCTTAGAATTTTAATGAGGTGGGTTCAGACAACAGATGCTTCTAGCTGGAGGGGCCCTAGCCCTACCCAGAAAAGAAATTGTGCAGCTATTCCAGCTTTTCATTCTTAAGCTATTTCTCAGCTACGGAAAAAGGCAATCGAAGGGAAAAGAGAGAAGGAAGATGACAACATGAAGAGATTGCCTTCCCTCTGTAAAGTTTGGTGAATGAGACAGAAGGCTTGACCTATAAAAGCCTCTTTTGGAAGTATGTTTGGACTCATTGCTCCATAACCAATGGTATGAACTTGATGGCAGCTCAGATCCTTCTGCACTTGAGACTTTACAATTTAACATCAATGAAATTTGATCCCCTACAGGGTTTGGTTTTGTTTTAAAAGGAAAAGAAGCACTTCAAATTTGGGAGGTTCTATTGGGTCATCCTCTCAAATCAGGCCAAAACCAACAGGTAGTCTGATTATAAGATATCAACACCACTGTGGAATTGGAGGTTTCTTTTAGCTTTCACCTGCTCACTAGATGAAGCAGGGTTACAAGCACAAGCAATAAAGCCTTTTAAACGTTCCTTCTTTCTTTGCTCCTGAAGAGCCACCTCACCATATTTACCTGTTCGGTAAAGAAACGACATTAACTGGAGAATGTGGGAATTAATATAGCCATATGTTCATCATTGTCAGATTTGCACAAGGTTTCATATGGAAGTTGCTTAATTCTTCTGGGGAGGGCAGTCAAACCAGAACAGGTGTGAAAGATTCATCTTTATTCTTTTTTATGAGCATCAGTTGCATCCAGTCTCTTGACAGTCACCAATTTACAGACTTTATTTATTTACTGAAATGTTTCAACAAATAGGTCATTTTGCACCTACTGAGGACTGCCTACATAATACTGCTTTCTTCCTTTTTTTCTGGAGATTTTGACTAACAATTTTTCTGTGTGAGGCTGTTAATTGACTGTTCTTGCTTGTTTCTGTTGCACAACTGAACAACAGTTCAGGAAAGCTCTGTATGGGGAATTTTCCTTCATGAAAAAGCCACGTGGGTTGCAACCTTAATGGGTGTGTGCACACAACACAAAGGAGTAAAGTTCCTCAACCCCAGACATTAGGGTCCTGATCCAGATAACCCACTCCGCATGCCTGCATTTTTCTTGCAAAAAGCCAGCCATGTATCCAGAGCTGGCATAAGACAGTTTATGGCACCTGTTCCCATTCCATGCACCCAAGTTCCAGTATCTGCCTCACAGCTGTCATTTATGCATTTCTCTTTTGGTTTCCACATATACTGCTGTGCACATCTGCTCTGCAATTAGGAGACCCTTGTCAGATGCCACCAAATATATCATGAAGTCTCCTGCTGCATGCTTTTAGGAGAAGAGAGCCAGTTTGTGCTGCAAAACACCCTCGCAGTCCAGAATCCCAGCTTCCAGGCTTGGCTTTCATTGTATAAATTGGAAGCCCCATTCATGGACTATTATGGGTGGTGAATACATATGTTGCCATCTCCAGTTAATACCCCCCACTTGTTCCTTTGTTTCTTCCTTTGTTTGTTTTGAATTTTAGAAAGAATAATTTTCCTGCTCAGGGATCCCCATTTTTCTTACAAGGATTTTATCCCCCAAAGAACTAATGATAATGACACTCAGATGAACCTTCAGGAGAAGGAAACCCTTTTGGGTAGTCCAGTCTGTCCAGGGATTGGGGAATTTCCTGGCCCTCCTGCCATGGTTCCCTTAGGTCCAGCTTTAGGAAAAAGAGAAAGATGTTTAGATAGATTTGCACAAACTCAGAATGTAGAATTAGCAAAAGGTTTTGTGAAAATCCTAAAAATGCAAATGGTAGTTGTATAACTATGCTGCCCTTTGCATGGTGAGGAGAATTTCCTTTTAAAAATGTCCAATATAAAATTCTCTGCCCCTTTATTTTGGGGCAGAGAATTTAAAAAAAAATGGAGTGGGGGAGACAAAGGAGACATGGATACATAGAATTTCAAATTGAAAAGTCACTCTAACTTATCTCATTGCACATCAGCTTCTTGGGTTCTGGAGCTTATACAAAATTCATTGCAGGGAACATTTGAAAAAAAGCATATCCTCCAGTTAGATCATATGAGGAAGGCCTACCAGGAATGAACAAAGTCTTCATTTGGTGGAAATCTGAGTGCTGTAGAAGCTGCTCCCATAAAGAACAGATTCTTGCTTACTGACACAGACAGAACTTCAATTTTTCATGACCTTTATTGCATGGGAAGGACCTGAGGCCGTCCTCATTCTCATAATGCTGGCTTCACATGACACAACAACCCAACAACCCATTGTTGTTGTGTTTTACGAATTCAGATTGCTACCAACTCATGTCTCACTTTAGTGGTTGCTGTACCCAGATTGGGTTGCAGTGTCATCTGAACCCAGAAAGCAACCCTATTGCCAATAAAGAGAAGTGGCAAGCAAACAGCTTGGCAAAAGCAGCCAAACCCCCTGGTTACTGCTGCTCAGGTTACATCCAGTGACAGCAGCTCCACCAAATGGCGAAACAAAGCTTTGCAGGAACTGGCACTGGCTTGCTTGCCCCTGCGTTGACTGTGTCCTCTTTTTTGGTAGCCACAGTTCCCCACTGCTTGTTCTGGAGATGACTTTTTGTGATCCCTGAAATCAATGCTGCGGAAAGTGCCCAAGGAACAGAAGAATCTTTGTCATGTGCCTTGAATTGATACATTGTTCATGTTTTAACAAACAGGTTGCTTTTTTGGAGTTGTGCAAGTATGCAATGCTGATTCTCCCAAATCATGGATAGTCTTGCCTTGTCCATGTCCTGGATGATGTCACAATTTCATGGTTGCATGTTTTTCCTTAAAAAAAATCCAGATGTGTCCTGACAAAACCCCAATTTTATAAGCAAGTTTGTGAATGGGGTGCACTTTTCCACTTTGCTGAGTGCTTAGAGTCTCAGGAAAGGGTGAAAAAGGTAGAAGACACTGAAAATCGTAAGGTCCAAACAGACACTCCCACCCCCAAAAAACCCCCTGGAGAATCTCACTGCGAAGATGAACTACTTGCCAGATCATTTTGCAAGATAAAATCCCACACAGCTTTGCTTCTCATTTGGCAGCTCACTGTTAAACAGCTGTCAAGTGAAGCACAACGCAAGATACAACCTATTGCTTTGTCAATGTTCATGGATGGCCCTACTTGAATTTGGCAGGGCAAACCAGGCAGGGCATTGATGAGACAAGGCTACAGCACACTGGTGCAACTGCCAAAATCCAACAACAATGCAAAACGAAGTGAAAAATACACAATTTCTGGAGCAAAAAGAGAGAGAGAGAGGGAGGGAGGGAGGGAGGGAGGGAGGGAGGGAGGGAGGAACAAGGGATAGTCTGCACTGTCAGTGGCCATCAGGGGCAGTTGCTTCAGAGACTGCAAAAATTATATTCAAAAAGAAAGGTAAGGGGGGGAAGGTGAAGCAACTGGAAAAGGGGTGCAGTTGCAATGGAGAGATAAGATGCAATGGATTCTGCAGTAGAGGTCTCTGGGATACCCATGGGAGGACCAAGTCAGAAGTTGGGGGAAACACACTGAGCCTAACTGCATGTTGGGTACACTCTGGATTGTTGTACAAAGAATACACATTGTGCAGCTTATTTGCGGGGTGGGTTGTCACTTGAGCATAACCTATAGCAGTTTCTCTTAATAGTTATGTGCCGAAGCTTTTGAGTGCATAAAGAACATACGCAGTTCTGTGAACCTGCCTTCAGTTAGAAAAATTGGCACTGCGATATGTTGAAAAGAAGTGTTAAAAATCCTTCTTAGATAAATTGAGAAATTCTGAGTGCTAAAAAGGTTTCTTTGGAAGAAGTTTCCATGTAGCATCAAAGGTGTGGAAGATGTCCTTGCACAATT